GCGGAACTCGATCCCGGGACTCCAGGATCATGACCTGAGCCGAAGGCAGTCGCCCAACCAACTGAGCCACCCAGGCGCCCTAACTTAATTCCATTTTTGTCAGAAAAACTTATGACGCAGACAAATGATTTATCTTGGTAAACATTTCAAATGCATTAGAAAAGCGTGCTGTTGGGTGGAGTGCTCTGTGAACGCCAACCAGGTCAGGTGAGCTGATTGTGCCGGTACTAATTTTCTGTTTACCTAGTTGTCCAATTACTAAGGATACTGACAGCAGCAACTAGAATTGCAGATTTGTCAATTTCTCTTTGCAGTTCTATCAGTTTTTCTTTCATGTGTTTTGTAGCTCTGCTATTAGGTGAAGAAAGTTTATGTTGTCTTCTTGGTCAAGTAACCTCTTTATCATTATGAAACATCTTCTCTGAAATCCGTATATTTGACATTATTACAGCAACTCTGCTTTCTTTCCATTAGTGTTAGAATTGTACATCTTTTTGGGGCGCCTGGGTGGTTCAGTGGTTAAGCGTCTGCCTTCGGCTCAGGTCGTGACCCCCGGGTCCTGGGATCGAGCCCCCCATTGGGCTCCCTGCTCCGCGGGAAGCCTGCTTCTCCCTCTCGCACTCCCCCTGCTTGTGTTCCCTCTCTCGCTGTATCTATCTCTGTCCAATGAATAAATAAAATCTTTAAAAAAAATTATATATAAAAAAAAGAATTGTACATCTTTTGCCTTCCTTTTACTTTTAACCTATTTGTGTCTTTGTATTTAAAGTGGGTTTCTTGTAGCCAGCATATATTTGGGTACTGCTTTTTCATGCTGACAAATTCTGCCTTTTATAATGATTTACTTGACAGAGAGAGAGCACACGTGAGTGGGGGGAGGTGCAAAGGGAGAGAATCTCAAGCAGACTCCCCGGTGACTGTGGAGCCCAACGTAGGGCTCGATCTCACGACCCTGAGATCAGTAACTGAGCCGAAATCAAGACTCGGACTCAACCGACTGAGCCTCCAAGGCACCCCAACTTCTGCCTTTTAATTGGGTGTTTAAACCATCTAGATTTGTGATTGTTGACATGGTTAGGTTGAAATCTACCATTTTGTTACTTTTTAAAGTTTGTGCCATCTGTCCTTTGTTCCCCCTTTCCTCTTTTTTGCCTCCTTTTGGATTAAGTATTTTATGTGATTCAATTTTATCTTGACTATTAATTTATCAGCTGTATGTAATTT